AAATAAGCATTTCCCCCTTCATTTCATGAGCTTTGATTGTATTCAATTGAGCTCAGAGCCACGTCGATTAAGGGTCTTTTGGGCATTAGTTAATTTGAATTGCAGCCGAAATGTTAGCTAGAATGTTGTTGAATATAATTGGAATGTGGAAAGTTGATTTTGAAAGGAATTTCATTGAATGCAAACAATGATGTGCTTTTTAAAAATTAGAATGCTGCACTTTCATCTCTTGTAACACAGTCTGAGAAATCACTGGGTCACTTTATAAAGTTCAGCTTTGGCATAGCCATTTGCAGTTGTTCTGGTCCTTCTGGTACCAGTATGGGTTGGAGTTGGGTCTTTCCTTTTGCCAGTAAGTGGCCCCACCTGCCCAGGCCTCACATTTGGACTTTCCTGCAGTGGGGAAACAGTAGCTGCTTTCTAAAAGGGCACCTGATGCCAAGTTGTACTTGCGCATCAGCCTTCATGGATTGGTATATTTTTCCTAGCTTTTATTTTCATTTTGGTTTTTGTCTTGAGATGGCCTTTGAGCACATGGTCTAATATGACCCATAAAAAAAAGATACCCGTTTGACAGGATCATAAATCATGACCCATAAAAAAAAAGATACCCATTTGACAGTATATTGTGGTAAGAAAAAAAAATATTGGAGAGGCAATCAGGATTCCACAGTTTTTGTCCCATATCTGCTATTAACAAGTTGTATGTCGATGGACAAATCATTTCAACTCCCTTTTCGTTGGTGGTGTCTTCTGACAAATGAAGAGGTTAGACTAGCTCACATCAGTGATCCCTTTCAGCCTGAACATCTCATCATTTTTGTCTTACTTCATATCACCTATAAAATTTAAGTTTAAATTGTTTTTTGCAGCATGCAAGAGAAAGTCTCCTATTACTTTTTATGAGTACTGACTTTTAATTCCTTATTTGGGATTACCGTCCTTAGATGTTGCCTTAAACTAGAAAAATTGAGCAGGAATAACAAGGCATTACAATTCCTATTGAATTGTTGCATTTGAACTGGGATTTCGAACTTGAGGAAAAGCTTCAGATTTAACCCTTCAGAGCCTGCTACCCTGGCTGCCTAGAGTGAGAGCCTAGGTTTCTAGCAGTATCACCGACAGGGCTCCATAGCTCATCTCATAGGATGGGAATAGAGATGGTATAAGGTCTAGGACAAAGAAAGACACCTCATTACAGAAGCAGCTCTTCTTGGGAGCCAGGAATAGAACTAGTGATGTCAAAGCAGGAAGAGCTCCAAACTACAGAGGGGAAAAAAAGAAGGGAAAAAAAGGGATAGCTTGAAGGGATGAAATTTATAGTTATGGATCTGTAAGATGCAGATGGAAACAGGGCTTCAGAAATAAAGAAATCAGTAAATATGCCAAAATTAGCCTGTTGCATCATTATCATGATTCTACCCCTAGGAGAATATGTCTTTGGAAAATAGCATGGTGCTATGAAAAATGCAGTAATGAGGAGGCCAGTGCTCCCAACTCTTGTTCAAGCTCTGCCACTGATGAGCTCTGTGCTTTTACGGCAGGCTCTTTTCCTCTCCACACCCCAGTGTTCTCATCTCTAAAAGGATAGTTCTGACAACATGGTTGCCATAGTCCCTTTCTGCCTTCCCATTGGGATTCCAAGGCAGTGGTCATTATTCTTGAGAAACCAATCACTCTCCTTCAACACATAGATTCGGGGAAATTACCATTGTGCCTAGTTCAATGATAATCAACAAAAGCGTTCTCAAATTATAGACTACAAATAGCTTAATAGATTAATCTGTAGTTGAGAAGCTTAGTTCATTCAGAACAGGAGAAAAGTTCTTTGGGCTAAGACAATTTCAGGACAATTTTAGCCTGACAATATAAGATTTCTAAGTTTTCAGTTCAATCAACATTCATTTATTGCTGTTGTGGAGCCCAGAGAGCACTTCCTGGAGGTATTTTTCCCTGAGCTGATGAAGAAGCTTTTCCTAGAATGTGCTCACATCAATCCTTCAGCTGCAGACACACGTGGTAGCACATCTGTGGTAGTGCTACAGAAAAAAAAATGTGGTAGTGCTACAGAAGTGATGAAGGTTAGTATAAGTTGATGGCAGTTGTTCACCTAAAATGAGGCAAATACTTCCTTTGCATGCTGAGAGAGGATTGGCTGGTTTATATAAAAGGGTTCAGACCCAAGATAGTGAAGCCAGACTGGTGACTTGTCCCGCAGAGTTGATAGTGGCTTTCACTGTAAACTCAGCTGGGCTGCAGCTTCGTTTTCTAGAATTCTCTTACTCATTTGTTTCCAGTTTAGGTTGGCCACAAGAGAAATTTGCATGAGATTTTGGGAAGTAAAGTAGTTACATTTTTTTCTTTTTTGAGTCGGAGTCTCTGCTGCCCAAGCTGGAGTACAGTGGTGCGAACATGGCTTACCACAGTCTTGACCTCAGGCGATCCTTCTGCCTTAGCCTCCCGAGTAGCCAGGACTACAAGTGCGTGACACCATACCTAGCTAATTTTTAAATTTTTTGTGGAGGCAAGATCTCGCTATGTTGTCTAGACTGGTCTCAAACTCCTGGGCTCAAGCAGTCCTCCCTCCTAAAGCACTGGTCCTCCCAAAGTGCTGGGTTTACAGGTGTGAGCCACTGTGCCTGGCCTGAAGCACTAGTTAAAAAAAAAACAACTTTGTAACCCTCAGACGGTCCATGTAGGGTAGGCTCTGTTATAGCTCGGGCATGATGTTGCTGATTTGCTGACTCACCTAATTGGCATGTGGCAGAGGCTGGCCTCCTGTTTCTTCAGCTCCCCTTGCCTCCCCCAATCTCCTCCTCCAGCTTCTCCAAATCCTGGGCCAAGTGCATGTGCAGCTTCATGTGGAAGGCTCCAGTGTACCCTGCCAAGTTGACTTGCATCATCAGGATTGGAGCTTGAGAGACCATGAAGCTCTAGTTCATCTTTGGTCGCTGCTGCTTTACAGCCATCTTCCCTTCCGGCTGCCAGAGCAACTGACTGCAGGCCTAGCATCAGATGCAGAGGCAACAAACTTAACGTAGACTGCATTGCCTAAGGTCTAATTCTTGTGGTAAATTCTTTATGTCACTCATAGTGGTTCTGCTTCTCTGATCACAGGCTTTTAAATGTTACCCGGTCAAAGAAAGTCAAAACAGGTCCCACTGGGGAACCTATATCCCTCGCTGATTTCTAAAGCATAGTAGCAGGTGTCTTGAGAAGTGGTTCCTTGGCCAAGGTAGATGGACATATTCTGGTGGTTTCAAATGAAGACGTACGGTATTGCCATATCCAGGTGAAAATAAGGTTCCTTGGCCAAGGTGGACATTTCCTGGTGGTTTCAAATGAAGATGGTATTACCATATCTAGGTGAAAATAAGGGAATCTGTCTTCACTATAGCATAGCACAGCCTGTCTCCAGGCTCCTATTGTTGCATTTACCACCTCCAAGGAAGACAGAGTTGTGTGTTAGTCACTTATGACGTGATGACCAAGTCACATAGTTAATATAGCCCGATAGTTAGAGGGAGTGAATTTCAAGCATTTGGACAGATCTTGTAGTACTGGTCAGAAAGTGATAAAACAGTGTAGACATTGAGATTGAATTTTTTGTGCCTGTGACTGGGCCATGCAGGACATTTTCTCTCAGTAATTGATCATGGATTTTTGGTTTTGTTGTACAAGAGAAACCTCCAAACCTCCTCACACCAAAACTTTGGTCTCTCTGCATTCATTCTGAGCCTTTTACAGTTTCATTAGTCCTTCTTGCTCATTTGTTTACTCCACAAAGGGATCTGTGCTAGGTGCTAGGGATAGAATTGTGAACAAAGCTAAATGGTTCTTGCTTTAAGTCCAACAAGAGAGAAATATTCAGTGGTAAGAGAGAGTATACCAGATCTGACCTGCTCCGAGGGTCAGGAAATGGTAGAAACCAACTCCTGGCAAGAGGCTGGTAGAGCGGTGGACAGGCACTCGCCAGCAGCTCACTGGCACCCAGCAGAACACCCAGAGGTGGGACAGCAGTGTACTTGGTCATGTTCAGTCCGTTCTCTGGGACAAAAAGGCATTTGCCAAAAAGACCAGAAAAGTCTAAGAGTCCAACCATGTCCACTGCAGCTACTTCAGCCCTCAGGCAGCTGGTCAGCTGCCCCAGTACCTTGAGATGGTTGACCATGGCTTCTGAGAGGACTAAGTGCTGACAGCCTGATTTCCTGACAAATAGCAAAAGAAAATGTTTCAGGGATATCTCTGTTTCCTCAAGGAAATGCTTGCCCATACAGCCTGAGAAGCAATAGTTTCTTGCATCAGAAGAGGAGAAAGCTTCTGTGGAAAAAGAAATGGCCACTGAAAGCAGTAAGAAATATCTCAAGAAACCATTCTTCTTTTTAGAAAAGTGTATGGCAACTTAACATTTTAGCTTTTTCTCTGACTCTCCCTCTGCCCTTGCTCCTCCACCCTTGTTTCTGCGTTCTGACAAGGTCTGTTCTAGTCAGTGATGGCAGCAGCTGACACGTCACTCGTCTGTCCATCAGTGATTGGGGTGATTACTTCCCCTCATCCATGCAGTCTCCTCAGCGCTAACCTGAAACCAGCAGTACCCAGGGACACAAAGGAGGAAGCGGGTTAACTGACTCCTTCCAGCTAAGTGTGGGCGGACTAGGGGCCTGGACAGTAGGCAGTGAGAAAGAATGCAGTGTGTCTGTGAGCTTTATGCTTCCTGAGAAGAGCATGCAATTAAGCAGGTAGGTGCATTGGGCTTTTTAACACTTCTGTAGTTAATTACTCTGACTTTCCTGGTCTTCTTTCTTCTGGTCTTGTGCTCCTAATATGTAATCTGATCGCTTCATTTTGTTTCTTTTTAAACGGCTGGCATCTTGAAGACGACTATGTGCATGTTGATTAGACTGAGAATGTCTTGAGTTTTTTGGTTGGTCTGAATCCAAGAATATGAAAGACAACTATTTTCTCTTGGCTTTTTACTTTTCTAACTCTTCATTCCATAGGCCTCCCAGTAGCATTGAATGCAGGAGAAAAGACATTGGCGATGAAAAACAAGCTGAACCAGTTGTAGTTTTAGATCCTGTTTCGACACATGAACCCCAAACCAAAGACCAGGTCGCTGAAAAAGATCCTACTCAACACAAGGAAGATGAAGGTGAAATTAAACCAGAAAACAAAGAAGACAGCATTGAAAAACTGAGCGAGACAGACAGCTCCAGCTGCTGATCTGTAAACCAGAAGCCTAACATGTTTGCTAGTCCTTTTCAATTAGCACATGATTTGTTTTGGTGTTATTGGCAAGGGCTATAGGCATTCTGTTCTGGTCACTGTATTCAGAATACAGGTTCTTTCCTGGTGTCACTTTTGTAAGTAGCAAGTATAAACATAAGTAAGCTGTTTATTAGCAAAATACCCATCCTAAGTAGTTTTTTGTTTTTTGGTCTTTATAGGAATAAGATTTTTCCTAGTTACTGTATTAAGTATGACTTATTTTAGAAGGTTACAAAAAAAATTCAGATGTTAATATCTTTAGGAAATGTGCATAACACTCATCAAATGGAATGCTGAAAGTTTGAGGTGCTTGTAGATAATTGAATAAAAAAAACTGACCAATCTAATGTGATTTTAAAAACCCCCAGAGAAGATTCTGTTTTGGGTCTGATCCTCTCTTGATGGAGAAATTGCAGCAGCATGAAAATTATTGGGTACTGTGGCATACAGGTTATTTTCTAGGGTAGACTGAGATAAGCTTAAAATTCGCGAGCTGCCATCAAACTAGTAGTCCTGTAATCAATGTTAATTACACACATTGTTAACTATTGGATGAAAAATACAAGCCTGATTGTGTCCAAAGCCTCCCAAGGACCTTGGGGGGGATGCTCTTGTGGCCTGAATACAGAATTGAGGTGAAAGTCCAGACCTTGAATTTAACAGTAATATCTTGGTAAACCATGTGCACTGTGGTATGAGTTAATTGTGTTTTCCCATATACTAATGTGGCACAAGTACCATATTTTTTTCACAGTTCTTATGTACAGTGAAGATAAGTGACAAGCACACATTTTTCTTGCTTCACTGCTGTTCTATATTACACAGTTTTGTTGTTTTGTTTTGTTTTGTTTTTTAAAGAAATTAAGTGGTAGATAGTCTCTAAAAATACAGTGTTTCAGGCTACCACAATGAATAAATAGAAATGTAATCAGGGATTTTTTTTTTTTAAACTTATGCAGCTTTTCAAAGTTGATTGTTTCAAAATTGATGTTTACTTAAAATAAGTGGTAATGTACTTGAATGCACTTTTTTATGACAATGATTCAGTAATGGTAATTTTACTATTAAAGAAAGTGAAAGGTTTAGTTTTGTTAGCATGGCTCAGCATGTAGCTGTCAGGTGCTTCTCACCTAAAGGCAAAAGAAAATGATAGTCATAATTGCAGTAGTTGTATTGTATTTTTTGCACGTGTGCTAAACTTAGGCTTGTCAAGGAGGTAAAAGGTAAATGTACTTCCTAAATTTGGAGATAATTATCTTTTTGTAAGTTTGTTATGCTTGACTGTTTCCATGTTTTCACAGGTCTTTATCACTTTACTCATGAGGAATTAAAATGTAATGTTTTCCAAATGTATTTTTCCTTAACTGGGTCATACTGCTATGTGATGTTCTAACCACAGACTGCATTAATCCATTTAAACCAGTTCTGTTATGCTGTGATTTGAACGTTCCTCACCACAACTTATTAAAAAAAAAACCAACACTTTCCCACTAAGGGTCAATTGTGATTATTAACATTTTTGGTTTAATTCCTCAAGCTTGGCATTTTTAAACAGGAAATTGTTTAAGAGTTGGTAACTTTAATAATTTTTAGTAGTCCCCCAAATGGCTTATTTTGATAAGTTTTATTTCATGTTTCTTTGTGTCGTCCTTCTTACGGTGCCTGCCGTCACTCTGCTGGCATGCATCTCTCATGTATTTAGGAATATAAAAATATATACACCATCTTTCCATGTTTCAGTACACACATCAACAGAATAATGTGGTTATCAAAGTAGCCTCATTGATAGGATCAGAAGTTACCCACTGGGTAAGATGTGTTAGCTGGACCAGGCGACAGTTAGTAACTGCTATTTTGAAAGTGTTCCTGCCTTTTCTAAGCTGCTTGCTTTCCTTCTGTGATGACAAAGCATTTTAAATTAATTTAGCCTAAAGGTGTTTGATATAGGATGTTTACTCACCTTTTTCTGCCTACAGTTTTTCCTTTTCACCTGAGTTTTGAGGAGATTTTGGCCTGCTGGGGGTGATTGTCAACAAAAGCAGGTGATAGAAAGACATAGGAAGACTAGTGCTTGTGTCTGCAAGGTATGTTCTTTGCTATTTGCGCACACACACACACACACACAATATGTGTAGCTTATATGTATTTACGCTAGTTTAAAGTTGGAATGGACTGCATCTTTGTTTTTGTTTTCTCTAAAAAGTTGTTATTCTTCCTTCTGTTTTGGAAACATAAATTAAGTTTTATGTGCTACAGAGGTTTTCAAATTAATGTTAATGCATTTTATAGCCAGAGTAAGGCAAAGGATTAGAGACATTGTGCTGTTGCTATTAAAGAAAAGGAAAATGTCTCTTTTCTTTTCTGGAAGAATAAGAATTTAATTAAAATTATTGCACCTTTGTGTATCTGAGCTGTTCTCAAACTCCTCACTCATAGTAGTTTTGGCAGTTGTTGATCAGTCCCGTTGACCTTCTGGCTGGCAGCAGTCAGCAGGGCTACTAGCACCCAGCCTCATTTGGCCTGAGTAAGAAGAATGTATGTTTTGGCTCTGACTACTCACCACTAATCCTTATTCCTTATCTTCTTTGTTAACTGTAAACTATTGTAGTACAGGTAAAAATGATCGCTAATGATCATTTTTAGGTTGTGAGTCAAATAAATGATAGTCTGTATCACATTCTTAAAGTCTTGATACATATTTAGTCACATCCATCATGGAGCAACTTTAGCTTCTATGCCAGTAAGTTTTGTAGAGTGGATAACCATCGGTTTTTATCACCTTAGAAGGGTCATCAAGCAGTGCCTGCATAAGGATTAGAGTGAAGTTTCTTCTGAGTGCTAACATTTCTCAGTCCCACTATCGTTTTTAATGTGGGATATGACTTTTGCTTAATTCAACAAAGTTCCTTTCATTTATTTGACAGATAATGTTATATATAACTATAAATGTTTTATATACCATGAGAGAGAAAGTATAAGTTAAAACAAAGCTTATTAGCCTTTAAGAATGTTACATATTCAATGGTGAGCACAGCCTTTTTTTTTTTTATTAATCAATATTTTTTATTATGGTTTTGTGGGGTACAGTTAAGGGTTAGGTGTACCATTACGTTTCATTCAGGACCCTGTTGATAAGAGGTGTTTTCCCATCCCCAGACAGATATTTGCTACTGTTAATCTCATCCCCCTCCCCCCCATAGTTTCCCAGTATTGTCAGTCATTTTCTTATACTATTACATTGGATGTTCAAGGTCCATTACATGAGTGAGAACATGTGATACTCGGATCTTTGTTTCTGTGAGAGGTCACTCAGTATTATAGACTCTAACTCCATCCAGGTTGCTGCGAACTTCATGATTTTGTTCTTTTTTATGGCTGCGTAGTATTCCATCGTGTATATATGTACCACATTTTTTTAATCCAGTCCTCTTTTGATGGGCAACATGGTTGTTTCCAGGCTCGTGCTATTGTGAACAACGCTGCGATAAACATACGTGTGCAGGTATCTTTTTTATAGAGTGATTTGAGTTCTTCAGGGTATATTCCCAGTAGGGGGATTGCGGGATCATATGGAAGGTTGATTTTTAGAGCTTTTAGGAATCGCCACACTGCTTTCCACAGAGGTTGCACTAGTTTACACTCCCACCAACAGTGTAGAAGTGTTCCCTTTTCACCACACCCTCTCCAGCAGCTGTTATTTTTTGAGTTGTTGATAATTGCCATTCTGACTGGAGTTAGGTGGTATCTCAGTGTGGTTTTGATTTGCATCTCCTTGATGATTAGTGAGGTTGAGCATTTCTTCATGTGTTTGTTGGCTGCTCGGATGTCTTCTTTTGTGAAGTGTCTGTTCATATCTTTTGCCCATTTTATAATGGGGTTGTTTGTTTTCTTTTCAGTACGTTTCAGTTCCTTGTAGATCCAGGATGTTAAGCCTTTGTCAGACCTAGAGTTGGCAAATACTTTTTCCCAGTCTGTAGGCTGTCTCCCTGCTCTCTTGATGGTTTCTTTGGCTTTGCAGAAGCTTGTCAGTTTAATAAGGTCCCACTTGTCTATCTTCTCTCTTATGACCTGTGGGTTTCGGGTTTTGTACAGGAATTGGATGCCAGTTCCGATTTCCATGAGGGTATTTCCTTCCTTTTCCAAGGTTCTTATGGTTTGAGGTTTTACATTTAGGTCTCTGGTCCATTTGGAGTTAACCTTTGTGCATGGGGATAGATAGGGGTCCTGTTTCAATCTTCTGCATGTGGTCAGCCAGTTTTCCCAGCAATATTTGCTGAATAGGTTCTCCTCTCCCCAGTGGTAGGTGGTAGGGGCTTTGTCGAAGATGAGTTGGTTGAGAAATTGAGGTTTTGCTTCTGGAATCTCAATTCTCTTCCATTGATCTATATGCCTGTTCCTGTACCAATACCAAGCTGTTTTAATGATTGTAGCTTTATACTAAAGTTTGAAGTCTGGTATTGTGATACCACCTACTTTGTTTTTTTTGCTGAGGATTGTTCTGGCTATTCTTGGACGTTTGTGTTTCCATATGAATTCCTGTGTTGTTTTGTCTAGGTCTGAGAAGAATGTTGTTGGTAATTTAATGGTATTGCATTGATTTGTAGATTGCCTTAGTAAGATGGACATCTTTCACAATGTTGATT